TCATTAAATCTGTTAGTTTATTTTCCCAACCCATGAAGTCTCTCTACCTTATTCTCTTTTCTCTTCCCTTCTGGGGAGGGGAGAGGGGTTCACAGAGAGCGTCTGCCCAGGATTTAGTGGCCAGCCCAGCCCTAAACCACGACACCACTCCTACTTACTGTACCATAATTTTGCATCTTTTGATGTTGCTAGCATATCAAACATTTTTATGATTAGTTTTGTAAGATTATCTGGAATATTTATTTGAGCAATGCTCTTTGAGGCCTTCTAGGCATACTGAAAGCATTCTGCATACATATCTTATCAGAATTTCAAATCTGAACTAAATAGGGTGTGTGGCAGAAGTCTTTTGTTACCAGTAACTGCACCAGGCAAAGACAAGAACAGTTTGGTAAGCAGTGACATTAATGAAGCTTCTTTTCCACTGGCTCTCTTGTATGCATGGTTTTCAACCCCTCATAGAAAAGATGAGCATATTGACCTTTTTCTTAAGCCTTTTCTCCTCTATCCAACCATTTTCAAGGCATTTGTAATCTTCAAGATAATTTGCCTCTTTAAGCTAAAACTGGAAAGATGTTAAAAGGGCAATCAAATATTTCCTGGGGAAAAAACAGCCCAGTTTTGTTTTAGTGCCTGAGGGTAATTCTGCAGAAGATTTTGAAGTCCAAACAGGACTCTGCCTTTGAGGACTTTGATATACTCTTAACCAGCTAAAAATATTTACCCAATTAAGGTGAATCTGTTTGAGGAGATGCAAAGGAAGAAAAAATAAATAGGGCAAGTTTGCTCACCAGAAATCAACAAAGTGCTAGATGCTGATATAAAGGAGCTATTTTTATTATCTAAAAAGATTACAGGAATCTCACCTTGATCACTGAAAGGAAAATGAATGCGTGACACAAAGGTTAAGTTGTATATCAGAACAGATTTACAAAGCAAAAGGCTACACTGCAATGCTGACACTGCAGTAACAGGATAACTGCTACTATAATTTAAATTAAGATTACTGTACTTCATCAGTATTATACTGCTTAGGAGATATATATTGAAGAAGGAGGTGAACTAAATAAAAATAAGCATGTTAGAGAAGACAGATCTTCATGCCTCCCTTGAGCAGACTTTCAGGGCAACTGCTCTATCCTGCTTCTGTCAATCCACAGAGTTAAGGAAGTGTTTCATTTCAGTCAGTATTTTTCTTAATGCCTGTCAGTTGCTGTAGTAATTTTGTTGTCATTAACCAAAATGACATGTAGTAAAACAAGCATTAACAATGTCCGACGTGTTCCAGTTGAACAGGTGGGAAATAAAGCATTCTTGGACTACATTAGAAATCGTAGTGCCCACCTAAACCACTGACAACCACAGCAGGATCTTCAGAAAAAGACAAAAACAAAGTTATTTCCAGAGCAATAACACCAACCCAAAGATACACGTTTGCTCTTCAAAACAGACGCTGAAAGCTATTCCTGGTCAAGCCTTACTCTTCTGTGTTATTAGTTCAGATTTCTGTCAGATACAACTCCCCATTGATTAATATAGCCAAGGAATTGCAGTTCAGTCATTCTCCTCCAGTATTAAAAGCTCCTCTTTTCTAGAGTCATCCTGCATCCCAGCTGGTGAAAGGACACAGGTACTCTTTCAGACCTAGTCAAGTCTCACGAGTACTTTCAGCCCCTGGCATTCTGGCAGACTACAGGCTGGAAGCTCACAAGTAAAAGTGGCTTTTGCTTCCCTGGGCTGCTACACCAGCTACCACGAGAGAATTTTAGATTGCAATGGCAAAAGAAATGGCAACTCCAACTGCAACTCAAAGCTTCACCAAAAATATCAGGCTCAAAGTTATGAATTCTCTTCATCAAAAAGAGAGGTCTGTGAACAGCATGCAGGAATCCAAAAGCCAGAGCTACCTCATGACTTGGGTTTTTTTGGGTTTTTATTTGTTTGGCTTCTGCTAGGGTTTTTTTGGTGGTTTTTAGCCATTTGAGCAGACTAGCATTCGAGCAAGTGAACAACACAAAGGACACTTCAATAAAAGACAGTCTAGCCAAAACTGAACGTATCTACTTTGCATTCTTCTTGCACTAACAATATTGTCTAGAAAGTCATTAATGCTTCCTTGAATTTCATTTGTAGAAACATTTAAGTAAGTATTATTGAACTTACTTGCACTCAACTGTGAGCTACTAGACTGGAAGGAATAGTCCACTTCCCGTTCAGTTAGAAAATCTTTGCACTCTGATTCTAAGATTCTCATTCTAAGACTCTAAAATACATTTGATACAAATAGGCCTAGATTATAGTAGGTAACCAAGTCAATATGACAGCAGAAATTTGGTAAGACTGTAACAGAAAGCATCAAATCTCTTGAAAAACTGGCTATGCCATATACCGTTCTTTACACACAGAACACCAAAATCAGTCTTGGGAATTTCCAGGGCTGGAATTCAGAGAGGTAATGTGGCTCCTCACCTGTCAACCTGAAATGGGATTTATTCATCAGCAATCGCATCTCTCAGTACTGTTCATAACTTCAGGAAAACATGCTGCTGTGCAAGATGTTCTGAAAACTTTTTCTGAGGCTTGGATTCAAAATGGCATTTTCCATGGACATAAAAATCACTTTTTTAGTATGTAAAGACAATACCTCACAGCAATGTCACATATTTTACCACAGCTTCAAGCTTAGTTCCAGAAGTCCTTGATAAATTCTCAGACTCAGCATCACTATATTTAAGGACATAAATACAGCTGGTCTGAGTGATCACGATGCTAGAAGTTTTCAAAGGTCTGAGGAAAGACAGCATGAAATACGTCAAGGAGTCCCACAAATTCTAGAGCAACATCAGACTCGCTGTTTTTATCATCTGTAGTACAGGACTGAATTTGGGAGTGTGCTGCAACTTAGGGAAATAACTTCAAGTCAGTCTCTGAATTTTCAGAAGAAAAAATGCAAGTCAAATCTCACCTGGCTGCAGTGGCACAAAACAGGAATCAAATAAGCAAAGGGATGCAAAGTACAGGGGAAGCATTTCTCAGCACAGGCACTGAGAGGCAGCTCTTACCTGAGAAGTGTATTTAAGAAACTAATACAGCACAAACCCACATCTACCTGTGCCATGGAAGATATTTCAGAGAAATCCTCTGCGGTAGCTCAGAGCATAATGGTCTCCTTGGTGAATGCACTGCTGAATGCAAACTGTAGATATTTTGAGGCTCTAGAGGACAGCAGCTGAAAGGATTATTTGATGGGTCAGCATCTCAGCTGCATTAACTGTACAAGGGATTTTTTTCCCTGAAATAAATGGCTGAACAAACAATGACTTGTCAGAGAAAGAGACTTGAGTATTTCATAAGCAGCCCTGTAAATGAAATCCATTTTCCCAAAAGGCTGGAATGCAAGTGTCTCACCATAATTAAATTTCATGAAAACAAATAAAGGGTTTCTTTGTTTGAAAACAATCTTCTTAATCTTCTCATCAATTTGTCCCTTTTAGAAGTTACAAGAAAACCTAGCAGTTACATTTACCTTTGATAAAAACTCTTACAGACAATTCTGGGTTTAGAGACAGCTACGATTAGAACAGTGAAATGAACTTTTTTCCCTGTGAAATTTTATTTCTGGCTTACATTAGAAGCTATTTGTAGGAAAAAGCAGCTTCTCCATCATTTGCAAGGCTAGACTTGAGTGCTCCCCTCTCCCCATTACAACGAAATAAATCTTGCCAAAGTCTTAAAATTGCAACAACTTCAATAAATGGATAAAGTCTTTTCATGCTACAAAATGGAGAACCAAAAAGTTCCCGAAAACACCAGCAGTGTTTTGAAATACTTACTCCAACATGCACGATTCTTTGGCACTAGATTTAAAAAAAACAAACCTAAAAGAAACCTTTCAAAGTTACTCCTTTTCTTCTTTACCAACACACCTCAACCTCGATCAAAGTCATCACACAGGTCCCAACCAACCACCAGCAAGTCCAGCTTTTCAAAGGCACACAGACACCAGAACTTGCTCAGCAGATTCTGCACACACACACATGTGCCACCCATGCAGAGGATGGAGGCACATTAAAGCTGGGCAGAGGCACACGCACAGCGAGTCACCTCACCGGCTCTCCACAGGTCCACACAGCGCCTGCCTTGAGCTGTGCATCCTCAGCTAAGATGCAACCTGAGAAAGTTCCAAACTGTGCACAAACACGTTCAAAAGCACAAGAAGGGAAAAGATATTTCACATCTCCAAGAGCTACTTAAAGTTCTGCACTCAGCTCCATAAGTTTAGGTTGCTGTAGAGCTTCTGTGGGAAGACATCAGTCTTCCAGGCACAGGTACTGTATGCTCAAAATAGAAATGTTCTCTAAATTTAAAGGTTAAGTAAGTATTCCAGAAGAGTTCTGCTTACCTGCATTAGTATTGAGCTGGCTGTCCTGGGAACAGTTTTCATTGCCATCAGAGGTTGACTGTAGCGAGGAAGATGGTGCAGCCCTACTTCGTTTTTTGTTGGCTTTCCTTTCTGCCACCTGCCACTCTTCATCTTCATCCTCACTTTCGCTCAAGTCATCAAACCCAAAGTACTTGATTTTGTAATTGGAACTCCCAGAACTTCTAGAGGCGCCTTCATCTCCTCCTCCCTCATCTTGATCATCAAACCCAAAAAACTCTAATTTTACATCCTTTTTGGATTTGGTATTGCTCGGTCGAAATCTCGTTGTAGTTTTTGTAGTAGCAATGTCTGCTTTTTTCCTTAAGCGCCCAGCTTCTCCCAAGTCAGTAGGGGCTGCTGTGGTAAATTCATCAATTCGCTCCATGGTGTCCTGTATAGTAACATTACAAACTGACAAGCAAGAGGGATGTAGAACAGTGTAGTCTCTAGTCCGTCCAACCGTTCCTCTAAAACTGGTCCCACTACTTAAAGAAACTTTTCTTGCTGGGTTCAGACCATCATTATTTGACTCGCTGTTTGCTTTGGATAAAGACTGACTAGTGCCATCCATGAGCTTGTCAAAATTTGTTGCGCCCTGCTGTTTTGCTTTGTTGGATCGACAGTATGTCCTACAGTTGCTTGGCCTGGGAATAGTTTGCACAAGTTCTTCACTAATGGCTTCCTTTGGGTTTTCAGTATCTTCTTTATCACACTCCTCATCCTTGCTCTTCACCTCTGAGACATGCTCGTTGTTAAAATCTAATATATACTCTCCAGTTCTCGTGTCTTCAGGTTCATCCTCCCATTCATACAAGTGAGTTCTTAATTGCCCCTTGGTCTGAGATGCTTCTGAGGGAGAGTCTGCCGTTTTTCCAACATGGGAGTCCCAAGAATCAGGCAAGCCCCTGGCTTCAATGTTGTATCCTGAAGTGTCTGTAGTTTCAGCATTGGTTTTGTTACTGTCTTCAGCATTCTCGTAGATTAAGTGGCTGTTCTTCTCATTGTCTTCGTTCAAATTCTGTATTTTATCTATAAGAAAAGATAAATTTATTACTAAAAACATTCTAAAAATTGGCAACTTTGAAAAGCCACAATATAACAGCAAATATTCAGTGTTAAAGGACAAAAAAAACATTAAAGAGGTCCTTAACCTCCTAGTTTAAACTTAAGCCTTCCAGTTTAAAATTTTTGCTATAATAAAATCTTCTCACCATTTCTAGCAGAAATATACACTAACTTGAAATAAGCATCAGTTTGAAAACACTTGGATCATGAAGAAACCTAACAGTGAACCCTAACAACAAGCACTTATCTATACAATCTACACGAGAAAGTACAAAAAGTCTGCAGCAGTTTTCAGCGAAGTCAATCACATTCCACATGTCATACATATGTGACTTACAGTGAATAATTAAAGAGCGATTATAAAGCAGTTTCTAACTATATAAGAAAAAAAAGTACTTCCTGTACCTAGGTTATCAGAATGTTGTATTTTCTTCTTATGAAAACATAACTAAAATCCCTACTTACACCAAGCTATTGCAACAACACCAGTGTTTCGAATGAAAGATCTGTGATACAGATTTTAGCGCCCAATTTGCTTCAGATACTGTACTTCAAGTACTTCTTGGTTTTGCGTAGAACTTGAGCAGGTAATATCATTGGAAACAAAACATGCATTAAGCAGTGTATTAGCCAAGTTTGCATATATGCATTTTTAATATTGCAAGGTACATTGTAGTAGCCAACTGTAGTCAGGAAAGGGGATGCATGGGCAGGTTACAACTGCTCCTTCAGATATTCTTGGGTTAAGAACAAAACAGTAGTGAGGCATCATCACAGCAGAAATGAGAATCAGACCGGACCACAGAACCTACCAATGAAGTTGAGTAAATATGCTGAAAATTATCCTATAATTCACTACCTAACACAGTAACCCTACAGCTACTAAATGAAATGAAAATAATCCACTAACACATCTGTACTAAAAATCCTACAGTCCCTGTTACAAACTGCATTGTAAGTTTTAATTGGTGTACCCAGAACAGCTTTAGCAATTATTCTATTCTGATGCAACAAAATAACATTTGGACTTTAAGAAGAAATACAAAAAATACAATTCTCATCACTATTTTAAATTGAACCATTTCTGAAACACAAGTTTTTACCATTAACTTCTACAGATCTGAAAAAGAGCTGTTGCCAAAAGTTAAGTCTCCACTTCTCCAACTCATGGCCAACAAACTCCACCGTAAGAAATCAGCTTTTGTAAGATCTGTTTCCAGCCAACCAGCACCCACGCAGCAATAATGCCAGGAAAAACAGCACCAAGTCCTCCACCTGCTGTCCTCGAAACTTTGCTTTCCCTGAATACCAACAAAAGCTCAGTGGATTTGGTACCGGAGTCTCACAAAGATAGCATCTGTATCTGCCGTAGTCTGTTGCTGCACCTCACACACATGCACAAAGATACCCAGAAATAAAAGTATGTTGTTTCCTGGAAACAGGACGAGCAGAAGTTTCTTTGAAATTTCTGAGGCAGTATAAGCAAACACAGGAACCAAGGTGTCTACCGTTACAGCCAACACCCACTGCACTGGCTGCCTGGGCCGGGAGAAGCAAGATAAGCAGCGTGACTGGAATGCAGAAGGCCTTGACACACAGAAGAACAGCACACGATGAGATAAACTGGAGAAACAGAAGCAACGGGGACAGGGACAAGTAGAACAAAAATACTAGAAAAGAACATGCTTCGAAGGCACAGGCACAGAACACAACAGTAATAAAAGAGGCACCACTGGCAGATGCCTAAGGATCAGATTTGTTAGGTAGCAAATGCCTACTAAACTCATGAGCAAAAGTAAGACATTAGCATCCTCTAGCACTAGACTAATTAGACTGCATTAAACTTCCCCAGCTACCCTTTACACACATGACAAGTTTCATAGCATTGACCATAAGGTTTCAGCCTTCCCGATGAGGAAAGTGAGCACTGATATTGTTCCAGGGACCTTCCTTCGTTTGTTTTCACATTAAAACGGCATCATCTCAATGCCATCCTCGCACACATGGTTTATAAAAGAACTTCAAGGTACAAGCTTATAATTCTTGTAAAAGAAATGATTACCAAGTCAAGTTTTGCAAGAAATTGGTTTAATTGTAGCTGAAATTCCTCAGGGAGACAGGACAAGTGGTATCTCACAAACTGCACCTAAGTTTTCTGGGAGGCCAGCTGAGGTCTGTCACAGTTGACATACTCAGCTAGAAATAAAAAAAGCTCTTCACAGTATGTATGAAATGCAAAACTAATTTCCCCAAAGAACATTAGTCCCAGCCATCTCAGTGACGGAATTTAGTTTAATCTTTTCCAGTATCAATATGTTAAACACAAAATCTTGCTATTCAGTCTCATGCTTGTGATAATCTAAGAGGCCCAACCAAAATTAATATTTCTGTAATCAAAGAGCGACTCTGACAGGGTACAATATGTTCTTTTCCCCCGTATGTTTAATATCATTTGGGCATCTGAAGATTACCATAATAGTTATGCATGAAAACCAGCAAATTAAACTCTAAAAATGTTGATAATGTCTCATTAAAATCTGCCAGTTTGCAGTCTCACCACTACTGTTCCATATCTGAGTACATACTTACTTGAATTAATAATTTCTAAGCAACATTTAAAACAAGTACATTTTAAACCTCCCTGTCTTGTCTTGCTAAACAATACTTGACTGAACTGTTAGGAAGAAGTTTCAGTACGAGTTTCTGTAAAGGGAAGGGTTCCCCCATCCTAAGGATTCAGGGATCTTAAAGAGCCATATTTCATAGCAGCACCAAACTACATCTCATCTTTCCAGGGAAGGAACAAGCTACACGTGCATACGCACATTTCAACCCAAGAGTGAAATAATTCAGGAATCTGATTTGAAATGAAAAAAGCTGAAATTTAATTTTACATGGTCTTAGCTTGAATCATTAACATCTCAGCTACAGTCTGTTCTCTCAAGCAGAAAAGATGATCAACACACCAAGCCTGAAAAACAAACTGAAAAGGCCAAAGATGTATAAATATATCTATAGCTTATACAGACAAGTAGCATTGACAAAAAAATAATGGAAAAAGTTACCAAGAAATCTGTTTCCAAAGAAACGGTAACTTCACCAACCTGTCTGCTCTTCTGTCTCTTCATGCTCATTCCCTACAGGCCCAAGTACAAAACTGAGCTTGCTATTAATTCGGTGCCAGTGTTCACCTCTAAGAGAGCCACCAGAACCACACAGGTTCTTCAGGGCATTAGTACACCTGCATATTAGCAAAATTTGACAGACTGGGTTAACGCAGTAGCCATATATCGAGTCCTTCCAGCCTTGAATTCCTTGTTTCCCTTCATCTCTAAGTGTGAGTAAAATCACTTTCTCCAGTCAGCTCAGCTAATAAATATAAAAACCAAACCATTCTATCGCAAACAGCTTAACTGGGGGTTTACTGCGCTTCCAATAAATGATCTTAAAGCCCACCACTCAGCATTAACAGCTCTTTCTGCACCACAGCAGGACTCCTGCTGCTTTTGTACAAGCTACACATTGCTTCTAGTCCGTGCATAAGCAACTTAAGATTTGTCTCTGAAAGGACTCCACGAGCATCAACAAAGTGTTACATCTCATTTTTAACTCTCAGCTAGTAACTCAGTCCAGCACACAAAGGCACTCTTAAGCAGCAAATAAGAGGCAGTTAACTTCCTCCTTCATTTTGTGCCTATCAGACATCAACATTTCAAAACCACCGTACTTCAGAAGCTTCAGTAACTGCAGTAGGGAGGTTTTTCCATCTCTAATCAGCAAGGCCAATGGGAAGTGTAATCAGTAAACTGTTTACTGTACACCAGATAGACAGTATGGCTTTAAAACTGGATCATCACAAAGCATTAGTGAAAACTAAGCAGAGACGTTTAGAGGAATGCTTCCTCAAAGCATGCTTTGTGAAGTCACTGTTTTCATCTCATCAGTGGGTCAATAAACATCACACTCAAACTTCTGTACCAAAAATTACTGCCAATATACAATTTTATTTACAGATACAGAAAGCAGAAAGAAAATACAAGAACTAATTTTGAATGATTATTCTGTAGCTCAAAAGAGTCATATTAATTTCTTTTCCCAATTTTAACTCCAGTTAGGCTCTTTTGGGGTTCAAATACCAGAAAAAAGTCTCTCAACTAATTTCAGATGAGCAACAGCATATAACTGCATAATCCACTAGAGACTTGTTCCAGGCACTAGCACAATATTCCTAAGAACCACAACAATCTTCTGAAGCAATCATGAGTTATTCTCTGTTTAAATCTCTCGAACTTAATTACAAGAGTATGAGAGAACTTATCTAAATGACTAGCAGATCTAAATGAAACATTAACTGATAAAGAAAAACATCCACACATTCATCCCCATTCCTAGGTTTATTTTATGCTCTGGTTTGTCACCAGCAAGATAAGGATGTCTTAAGTACTGCTGCTGAATTTTTAAAAGTCAAACTTCTACTCTTTCCAAACACACTAAGATGTTTCACACACAGAGGTGCACACAACCGAAGTTCAGAAAGCTGTATTTAAGTTATTATGATTATTCTGAGTCAGCTTTGTAAGACGACCATGAGAAACAATTCAAGTTCACACACTGCAAGACACTCAACTCATATAAAGTAATAAAGCAGTAGTTTATACTCCCCTAGATACATGAAAATGTTCAAACAGTGGGACTGTAACCGAGTTCTCAAAATGCCACTGCTTTTCTACTAATAAACCTTTAAACATGAAAGAAATGCCTATCTGGACTTGTTATAACATTTAGACTAGATGGCTATGAAGACAATATTCTGTTCATATATTTTTAAAAAATACATATTTAATAGAAGCACTCACTTCTTTGATGGAACAAATAATATTCCATACATCCACCAAAAACCAAAAAGGCCTTCTGGCTACCACGAGTAGCTACAGCAGCACTACCTCTTGTCTCTTCCTTTTTAAGACCATGTACAAAAGGAAGAATGCCTCTCTAGATGTAATTTTCTTTTATTTTTAGACTTCAAAAAAAAGATAAATTCATTTTCTTTAGAGCTAAGACACCTACATCCTTCAGCTGGACATGTCTGATCATTTTGACATTAAGATGTCTCAGATTTCAACTGTATTTTTTCATCAAGTACCCATAATACATCTCTCTCTTATTTTAGAAGGTTTTTCTTCTTAACTGATGTCCACCTGAAAATATGCTCCCAAACAGTCCTCAGAAGAGCACCACTATCTCTTCATCGTACTATATGAGAAAAGGAAGGAACAGCTCCCCACCCACAAAATATTTAGTTCTACCGTGGTAATAATGAAAAAACTCCATATAATTACAGACTTGTTGAGATGGTGAAAGGTCTAAAAAAACTGCAAGGCTTTCAGAAACCACCACTGTGAAAAGAATCACCTTTTTTTTAATTGTATGCCATCCATAAAATGAATGTTTAAAACTGAATGTTACAAAGAAAACAAGTTAAGTTACTAATTAAAGATAGAAGTACAACTTCCAACATGCTTCTCACCTTCAATCTTTAGTTACATATTGCCTTAAAGAATAAAAAAAGTGAAGGCCAATGGCTCTTCCCCAGCAAAAGCCACACTAGACCAGCTGAGCAGGACCTCCGGTACTAATTTAAGCTGCCTTCTAGCTTCGGCAGTGACCATAAAAAGGAGACTTTAAGGAACCTCTCTTTTCACCCGGTTTGAAAAACTTAACTTCTGGATTAATGACTGAATAAGAAAAAGAAACTGCTCGAAGAACCAATAAAGAGACCATCTGGAAATTTATCTTCACAACTGGCTACATGATTCCAGTCACCTTATACTGTACACAAAATGGCAAAGAAACACAGATACAAATGCATATAGGTTTTAAAAATGCGTATTTTAAAAGTGCAAAAATAGTAATTCTACACCTGACCTCTGACATCCATTACTTCTTTCTCACCTCTCGTCATGACAAGTATACATAAGGGGAAGCTCCCGGTACAACCAACAGAGCTGTGACAGCCACTGACCAACGGCACCCGTAACTACAAGGCAGCTTTCTGTGAAACAAATGTGTGATTCCAGGACCCAGAAATAAGCATCGAAAGAGCAAAAGGAAAAGGCAAAACTCAGCTGCGTTACCTACAGCTACAACAAGCCAGCAGAGTCCAGAGTGGCCAAAGACACCTCGTCCGGGAAACAGGCCAATGAGTAACCACCACAAAGTTTTCCTGCAGGTCATTCTGAAAGGAGGCACTGGTAGAGAACACTAGAAACTATCTAAAAGTACCTGGGGAAAACAGAGCAGAATGCAAATGTCTGGAGGTGTGGACAGGACCTTGAGAGGCTGTGCAAGTGTTCCCAGGAACCTGAAGTGATTTTCCAGGATTCATTATACATCTTGCCAGAGTCGCTTCTTTGTCAAACTAGAGCTACTTGTCTTTTTGCCTGCGCAGTCTCACAGACTCTTCCAAGAAGTTTTTAGACAGCTCATACTGGCATGTTCTCATATCATCACTAATGACATACCAGAATATTTACAGTAATGGAACTGTGTTGATATGGCTGACTGATCACCTAGCATTACACGTTTAGTATTTAAGTACACATTACAAGAAACCATCCTCGTTCCTGCTCAAAGCTCACCACAATGGCATTTATGGTTGCATTAACTCAAACCTGGTCAAAACCTGCTCCAGCCAGGGCCTGAAAACAGTGAGCAGGTTAATGCTGGAAGGGGAAGCCATAAAAACAATTCCTGTCATTTCTCACAGGAGATTTTTAAACTACAAAAGAGTAGATTTAGGTTGGATATTAGGAAAAAGCTCTTCAATGTGAGGGTGGCAGATCACTGGCACAGGTTGCCCAGAGAGGTGGTGGAGGCCCCATCCCTGGAGATATTCAAGGTCAGGCTTGACGGGGCTCTGAGCAACCTGATCTGGTAACACTGTCCCTGCTCACTGCAGGGTTTGAACTGGATGAACTTTAAAGGTCCCTTCCAACCCAACTCATTCTATGATTCTATGACTGTGTGAAACTCTTAACTTGAAGAGTTAAGACTTAACACTTAATTTTGGAGAAAAGATAACACTCTCACTACCAACTACTGAAGCTGTAAGAGGTAACATCTTCATAACCTGATTAACCTTAGAGTACAGCACATACCAAGATGGAATCCAAAATAAAGTCAAGGGGCAAAGTCCATTAGGAAATCAAACGCTCTTCTCTGCAATAAATACCATCATCCAAACCAGTCCTCACCAAATGTGTCCTCCAGCCTAGCTCCCATTTCAATTTCATTTCCACTTAACTGACAAGACTAAGTTGCTTGGCTCTAGGTCTGAAAACATAATTTTGAGCTCCATAAAAGTCAGATCATCATTAACGGTCTAATGCTAATTGCCTAAAGTCAAACACTATGTGCTTTTGCTAACAATTCAGGGACAGAGCTGCAGTACCTTATTTGCTGTTTTAAGTTACTTGGAGCACAGAGCAGTCTCTTAGGCTATGAGAACATCCCTTAATATAAACTTCTATCCTGAACAGATTTGAGGCTCACAGAACAACCAAAGCGCTGCCCCACAACTCAACCACCACCCCTCGCAGCCTCCCCAACACCAACCTGTTTGTCTGGGCAGGAGACAGCACACGCTGCAGACCATGCGCAGCAGCACGTGCTGGCTAGCCAGCCTGCTGCTGCCTTCCAAAATGGATTAGGCACCCAGTTCTAACTGCATTATCCTTACCAGCATGCAGACAAGTGAGAAGAGAACAGACGAATCACTTCCACTCAGCTTTTTACTCCACCATTTTTCATGACATTTGAAACAGCACATCCTTGAAATCTCTCCTTACTACTCAAAGTTTGATCACAACTGGTTCACAATTACCAATGTTATTAGGAAACTGAAGAACACAAAAGGACAGTCAATACTAGCCTTGGCACACTAAGGTGTCCAAATACTCCTACTGCTTATTTTTTCTATTTACTCACAAAGAAGTTGCAAGTACTAAATGTCAGCCCTACTAACCTGAACTCCAGGTTAGTTTTCTCTCATTTCTAGCAAATTATTGGTGAATGCAAACTACAGGAAGCTACAAACAAAAAACACGTTGCCTTTCTATAGGTTTTGTAGCATGAGACTTTACTGTCCCAGTTTGAGCACTTCCATTGCTGTGGTACTTAGCTGTAGAAGCCTTCATTTTAATAGCGAAAAGGAGAATAACTGAATTATTAGACACAGAAAAC